CCAAGGTACCGTGAGAGAGTTCCCATTTTCTGGTGAAGCCCCTCCCACATTGGTCTATGACGCCCCTATCATCCTATGAAACACTTTGACAGACCCAATAGCAAATGGATAGCCCAATTTTATGGTATGTTTCCTCATTACTAAAGGGCCCATCATTGTGCTAATGATGGAAGGCCTTTAGAGAGTCCATCATATGGATCTCCCTATCACATGCATTCAAACCAAAGTGGCTCCCACTGACTTTCATAAAGTCAGATTTCTGGTGGGCCTAAATCGGATAGGGTTTCCGCATGCTTCCCTCTTTAGGGTTGTGGGGCCCACCATGCAAGGAGGGGTCATCCAATGACCTTAGGGGGACACCATGGCAATGATGTGCATTCAGCCATGGTGTGCACAAGAGCCACTAACGAATCATCATGGGCCATGTGCTTATGGCCCATGGTCGCAACACATCAAACATCCACACATCACATGATATGGAAGAATTGATCCAATCAATCACTAGCTGTAAAGCCCATTAATCAGCCCAACAAAACACAATATTAACAATTAATATCATCTAGGTATATGGGTTGAATAGCAGTTAGCAGTTCAACCCATATAGCTTTTCTCACAAAATGGGCTTTTGCAGTTTTAACTCTTTAAAACTGGGCTTTATAGGTTGGGCCAAATTAATCCCTACAATTGAACATCAGATTTGGGCCTGAAAGTGTGAGAAAACTGGAATAAAAACAGTCCCCTTTCGAACCCTAGATTCGGTCCAAACAGATTTGGTCCAATCTGGTCCGAGATGGTCCAAAACTGATTTTCAATTCAAGAATCAATTCAGGAAAGATCTGAAATTAATATTTCTGATTTTAGACAATCATAAATCAGACATGGACTATTCGTACCACCTGCAAAACAGAGGTTAATCACTAGGGTTGCAGTTTTATAAACTACAAAACGCAGAATGCGATCTCTCCATTTGCAAATCTCCAGCGCCGCCTCCTTCTCCAATCAAGAAAATAAAAATTACATAAATCCTATTTCTATTAATTAATTACATTCCTTATCAAATCCTATACATTCAGTCTAGAAAAATAAAAAAAAAATATTTTATAGACCAAATGGAATAGAAATTAAAAGGAGAATGCACAGACAATCTACGCCAATGCTGCACTTCGATCTCCAGGTACAAACAGTCCATTAAATCAAGAAATAAATAAAAAACAATTCTAAATAAATTTCAGATTTAACAAAATTAATTTCAGATCAATCGCCCTTAACAAGAAACAATTTCTTGAAATAAAACATCAAACTACGCAATACCCGGATAGAACAGCTTCTACCGAATTGTGCAGGTTCAGATCTAGTTTCTTGGTTCATGATTCGAACCTGTGGCTCTGGTACCACTAAAAGGGATGGTAGAATCCATTGGATGGACGCCAAAACTGTTGAGGAATGGTGGGCGAATTTCAAAAATTTTCTACCCACCTTTCAATTGGGAATCGCATTCCCTGATTTTAGAATCAAGATTCAAGGATCCTACTTGAACCAGAACCGAACCAGATTTGAACCAAAAGAGAAGGGAGKAATTATACCKGATCYAGAGAAATAATATCTCCCAAAGTTGGTGTTCATGCCCAAAGAAGACACCAAGATCTGCTCCTGCTGAAGATGACACAGCAACTGTAGAACAGAACTAGCAGAGTGCGTCTTACACACTGAATCCTTCTCAAGAATCCTTTGGAGGCAATGAGCACCTAAAACAAATCATCCTTTCAACAAGACTGATATCAAGAACTTTTCTTGATCATTCTCTGATAGAGAAAATCGAACATTATTAGGTGGCAACTGATAAAGGAGAAAGCTAGAGAAGAAGATGGCGAACTGTTTTTTCTCTCTCTAGGGTTTCTGAGATCCTATCTCAAAACTGCAGAGTGGGTGTTGTGTTCCCTAGGGTTCGAACTCTTGTAATTTGAATAGGGTTTTCTCCAGTTGCTTAATGATTAAGAAAACCTCCTGATCATATCAGGAGTTGCCCTTATCCAAATCTGTATTTGGATTAGGACTCTTCTTAATCTTATCTGCAAATTAGATAAGTTTTTTGGGCTCATCCCAATCTCATATCCGCCCTTGTTAATGACTGATCAAATCAGCCCAGTTTGAAATGGGCTTTACGCCCAATAAGAATTAAGTGCTCAAAAGTCTTCCAAACTGCTGCCCAGTTGGGCTTCTTTGTATGGCGTGGGACCCAAGCATTGATCTACACACCAGCCACATAGGTTCGGCCCAACCTTTGTTACAAGGCCTGGCCGAATTCATTAGAGAGCCCAGTGAACCCCTTGAGCCCATCACATGGACCCCTATGGGCCCAACACTTACACTAAGTGGTCCCTAGGCAAGGCCATCTTATAAAAACCCATGGACTATGGGCAGGTGCAAGATTAGCCCATCCAGTATTATCCCAAATGGCCTTACACTTAACCTCTTAGCCCATAATGATCAAGCACTGCCAGACAAGAGAGGACCTCTCCCTCGGCTGCAAGGAACAGTGCTTCACTCTCTACTCACATGGATCCTGAGAATTAAAACCATTTGCAAATATTTTGAAACCATATTTAGAAATATATCATATATATATAAATTTTTCAAAACAAAATTCCAATGATTGGAATCAATTGCCGGTAGCTTGGTTTCTATCAAAGAGAGTGCATCCCCGATCATTACCTTTGTCTGACAAAGGGGCTGATCCCATCACTATGATCACCCACTCAGATGAATTCTCAAACTATCCCAGCATACCTAGGTTTTGACCCCCGCTAAGGATCTCACTAATTGGCATATCAAAGACAGCCCAATCCGGCACGTAGTGCAGTACCATAATCGAGTCTAGGGGTCAGGTGTAATTTCCAGTTTTGCCCATCAATCTCCAAGGTCTAGGGCAATATTGGAAATCTGGTCCGGTTCAAGGGTTCAAGCAATCCTACACTACATGTACCTTGGGTCTCACCCTGGCGGCTGAGACAAGCCACCCCAATAGTTTGTAGCACACCAGAGTCAGCCTTAGTAGGATAAATCTCTCCAAACTTATCCAACGGCTGTGAACATTTAAAACCAACACAAGTCTCATTAAGTGTCCAGTTTTAGGGTCTTTCACAGAAGTATACCACACAACATGAATCAAACATGTACTTTATTTATTTACGTTAAATATCAAAAGTACATCCAAACAGATTGAAGCTAAGGGCATACAAAAACTATCCAACAAGTTATTTATATTAAGATACTTGAGCCCTAGTATGACTCCATTCTAATTCAAACTAAAACATTTTGGTGACCATACCACATTACCTTATAACATCTTGGAATCCTTTACCTTACGTTGTACATTAGTTGTACCAACCCCATCCTTAGGGAACTTCAAGGAAAACATAGTCCTATGAGCTAGAATGATGAACCTAATGAGTAAGAAAATCTAAATAGAAGTTTACAAAAAGGATTTAAGTTTAATAGCTTTGACAAGGAATAATGMTAAAATGGAAGAAATTCAATATTCTTCATGAACATGATAACACCTTGGAAATTAAGAGGTCAAATTTCAAATGGGTATTTATTCTTGTGATATTTGTGATTAAGTGTAAAACTATTCAAACTTAACTGATGCCATTGAGGTATACATGCTAATAATATTGCCTTATTTCATTAAAGAATCCTTTACCTTATGGTATCCCATAGTGATACCAATCTTGTGCTTAGAATTACACTAATTCAATAGTTCAACTTTTGGGTCAAATGTGTTAACCTTTGTTGTCATAAATACATAATAAAAATTAATAAAATATAAAATACATCAATTTTGCAAAAACATTCAGGCATGTGTATAATATCATATAGTTATCATATTAAACAAAAGAGTAAGTGTAGCATATCATAGTTAGGTAATAAAATTTTTAAAATACAAATAAATATCGAAAATTACAAAAATATAGAAAAATTAAACATATCTATGATATTTTTATTAATCAAAACAAAAAATAAGTGTAATAAACAAGAATTACTTTTATATATCGATAATGAAAATGAAATATATAATTTAGAACTAACTAAAAATGAAATTATTTTACTATTTGACAAATATCAATAACTCAACTTTTGGGTCAAATGTGTTACCATTAATGTCATAAATAAATAATAATAATTAATAAAATATAAATACAAAAAATGAAAAATACAAATATATATATAGAGAAAAATTGAATAAGATTATGGAATTTTGTTTTGACTAAAATACTCATTTTTGAATTTAGTCCCTATTTAATTGCAAGGTTTAAATTATAAATTGAACTACTACTTTTCACTTCATTTAATTAATTCTATTTAAATCTTTCTTTTCATAAATGAATAAAAAAGATACACTAAAAAGATAAAACATTACAAAAAGAATAGTCTAGCCAAGCTGGTAGGCTTGTGAATGATACTTGAAACTTCACAACTTGATCCGATTATCACATATTTGGATGAGGTGTTTATGTAATCAAATTTGGTTTTTGCATTCTACACCTAATTAAAAATAAAAATCAAAAATAAAAAACAAATAAAGTTTATAGAAAATTTTGGATACATTATTAATATCATTATCATCATCCAGAATTACCACGTGCAAAGCACATGCACACTTACTAGTGATGATTAAAATGTCCATATTTGTATATTAAGCCCATCTCTAATTATAAGGGTTGAAAATATAATTTCAATTATTACTTTTCACCTCATTTAATCCCCTCCCTTTAAGTCTTATATTTACTAATAAATGTTATTAATTAGATATGTGTTAATATTTTTAAACAATACAAACCCATATATTTTAAAACTGACTCAAACACAAAACTATTCTTTGTCCAAGTGGTGACTAAGCAATTCAAACAACTGAATCAAATTGATCAACCGATGAAATCATAGTTTGGTAATAAATTTTTTAAAATAAAAAAAAATATATAGAAAAATACAAAAATGTAGAAAAAATAGACACATTTATGATATTTTTATTAATAAAATTAAAAAATAAGTGTAATAGACAAGAATTATTTTTATTAATAATGAAAATTAAATACATAATTTAGAAATAACAAAAAATGAAATTATTTTATTGTTTGAAAAAGATCAATAGTTTAACTTTTGGGTCAAATGTGTTAACATTTAATGTATAAAAATTAATAAAATATAAAATATAAAAATGAAAAAAATACATAAATTTTGCAAAAAAAAAACATTCAGATACATGATTAATATTATAAAATTATCATATTAAACAAAAAGTAAGTGTGGCACTTCAGAAATAATTTTACACACAAATATCAAAACAAATTATAGAAAAAAAATGAACACATCTATAATTCTATATTTATGCTACTATTAAAATTATGAATAAGATTGTAGAACTTTCTTTTGACTAAAATACTTATTTTTGAATTTAGTCCCTATTTAATTGTGAGGTTTAAATTGTAAATTGAACTACTACTTTTAATCTCATTCCCCTCTATTTATAAAAGTTTTTTGATATAGTATTACGATCATTATCATCATATTGAATTGCCACATACACGCTTATTAGTGTCATGATCCATTAAATGTTTAAATGATATATATATATATAATGTTATTAATATTATTAAAGGAGAGTTAAGCTGAAAAATTTGACCGTTGGCCCATTTGCTTTATAGCCTTTAGAATAATCCATGTTAATTAAATCTAACCCACCTAATTGAATTAATTCCACTACATTCCTTTTTTATTTAGTATACAATACATAATTTACACAAAAAACAAGCAATAAACGAAATAAAAGAAATTGAATTAGGAATATGATGTAAACGAATTTTTACAAGGCTATCCTAGTGGTAATTTTTAGGGCATTATATGCAATGGGTTTGAATCTTAATGAGTAGATGATACCTCAGGTGGGTTGGCCTCACCTGATGTATCCAAAGCCCCTAACTACTTTAGGTGATATTGGAGAATACAGGAGGGGAGATGTGGGCCCTCATTTT